GTGTGGCTTTCTGTTTAATGTAGATTGAAGAAATCAACGTAAAAATACATCTATTTCACTCTTCCCTACATACTCATAAAAATATTTATTAAAAAGGCTTTTGTATTAGAATCCTGTGTTTCATCTTTACTATGCTGCCTTCCATCTCCCTCACATATCAGCATATTTTGTTATCACTGTTATTTGCATTTCAGACCTGTCCTTGATCTCTCGCAAACAAAGGATTTGAGAAATGCCAAAACATCAAGTTTATTAAATTTTTGAAAGCAGTCATTGTTCTGTTATGTTTTAGGAACATGGTATTCCAACTGATTTGGGCTATGCAGTGGCTCCACACCATTCTGGAGTCTATCCAGTACATGTTCAACTTTATGATGCCTGGAAAAAGGTCTGGAATATCAGAGTTACCAGCACAGAAGAATACCCACATCTGAAGCCTGCAAGGTATAGACGAGGCTTCATCCACAAAAATATCATGGTGAGTTGTATTTATGATGTTCATATTACAACCACTCTACCATTTTATGAACAATTTATTTTTAAGTGGAAAAGCACAGTATCCTGAAAGTTCACATTGTGAGAAGCACATATTGCTGTGCATAAGTAGCAAGATATATTTGACAGTATCTTGTTAATTAAAATCAGTCTGTTGCTGATGATGTTACTGCTGATGAAGGTGGCCTCCAGGCACCCTGCTGTTAACAGTTAACAGGCTGTTAACTGTTCTCGTCCTACTGTTAATACTGGTTCAGAGATCTCAAGCAAAAAGTCAACTTTGCATCTTTTAACAGAATATTATGGGTTAGATATTTTAGCAGGTTTTAAATTTGCATAGTGCCATTAACTGCAAAAGAGTTTTGCCAGTTTATGCCATCTGAGCATCTGGATCTTGGTGCATAAATATTTTTTTTTCTTCCATTTGAACGTTGCACAGTTGCCCTCGTTTTGTGCCCTGCCATATGGAAATGTGAACTGTGCTTTGCACTGTGGCTTAGCCCCACAGCTCGGCTTTGGGCCCAGGCTCAGTCTGGATGCAGGGCAAACACTCAGAAGGCTGGAGGGAAAGAAGACACGCATACCCCACACCCCCCTCCAGGCTATGAAACTGCTCTGTTGAGGCAGCCACAAGTCAAATCACACGGTTTTTCTATATTACGTGATTCACAGTGTATTGACAGCACTGTTTGCCAAAAGGGGTTATACAAAACTGACATGGAAGGCGTTATGCTAATAGCATCTGGTCACTGGGGTGTAGGCTATTTCTGATTCACATATTGTCATTATTATCTGAGAAGTGTTTCAAAACAACTTGCCAAAATACTTGATGGTATGTTCTCAAGTAACTTTCTTTTGGAGCATGTAGGAGAGTGGTGAATGGGAAAGAACCTGGTGTGTGTGCTGTGTTATACCTCTGGCTGCAACAAGCAGTTTTGGGAGGGTCAAGCACTTTAGCGCAAGACCGCCACTTAGCTTATAACAGAATTGTGATATTATCCTTGAGTTACCATGGATACCACTTTTCCAAGCAAAATAATAGTATTTAAAAGTTTTGATCTATTTTTGGATGAAGCAAACTAATGATCTCCAGACATCCAGGAAAAAAATTGACACCTTACAGATTTCAGCTACAGTTTGTTCTCCTGAAAGCAATAGCTGCGTGTAAAATAAAGGGTTTGTGGATGGGCTCAGGGGACATGAAGCATTTGAGGAAGACTGATTGACTCTCAGAATCTCCAGAAATCTCTTTCATAAATTTTTGTAAAAACATGTTATTTGAAGACACATAATGACATTTAACACAAGGACACTGAGGCCAAAATTCTATTTCCAAGAACAGTCGTATAAAACCACCTGTTCTGGGACTCTCAAGCTTTCAGTTCTCCAGGGCAAATGCATTAATATTTTACATCTGCAGGCTTATAGTGATGAATACGTTCAGTAATAAAATTGTTGTGTAATATTTGCCAGAGCGTTTCCCATCCAGTGCAGCTTCATTCCCAGCCTCCGTGAAGAATTGTTCTCATATTTCATCAGTGAAATCCAAGGGTTTTTAAAAAGTATATGCAAGTTTATAGCAAGCACGCAAATTCCATACATTTTCTGACAACACAGAATTTACGATCTGTGGTCACAGTATCCTGTACATTACAAAAAAAGATGTTGAGAAATGAAACAAGAAGAAATAAAGAACCACAGTCTGTGTCAAGTAAGGGATTTGTATGCTTTGAAAGTTTAAGCTATCATTTAATAAATGTTCTAAAGTGAACTAGAATGTTTGAGAACAGTTTAAGAATTATATGTGAACATCAATACTCAGCCGTTGATTTTCCATAAAAAATAAACATAATTGAAACACTCTCCAGCAAATTATTTTCTTGAAATTGATAGAAAATATTTTGAAGTTCTACTGGAAAACCTAACTGCATTTATTAGTTCTTGCTATTCAAAAGATTTGTTCTTTGCATGTTTTTAAAAATACATGCTTTTGTTTACGCTACTTTTTACTGCAACTGGTCTTAGAAAGCTAGCATAGTTGAATGAGAAGCAAATCTTTCTTTATAATGTGAGCCTTATTGGCAAAATTCATCATGTGTCAGTGTAGGATGATTATTGGTCATGATGCCTAAGCCAAAAAAACCCCTGACTTTCAAATTCCAGTTTAAATTTACAACAAAGCCATCTTTCAAAAAGGGGAAGTGATTAATACAATATAGACTGATAGTATTTTAGATTATGTTTCAAATTATTTTAAAATTTTAAAAATCTGATGACCAGACTTCAGATATGTAGTGTTAGGATCAGGTATTATGGACAAAATTAGTTGGATGAGGTTGCTGAATTGTAACTTAATGATCGAGATCAATCTCCAGTTTCAAACAAGATGTGATGAATTTTTGGATGTCGTGATTTAACTTGATAATAAAAATATTGTTTCTTTCAGTAAGCACTATTTATTGATCTGCCAGTGTATTAATTCAAGTAGATCATTATTCATTTCTGGCACAGTTGTGATGCCAAATCTACCCAGCAGTTATCACAAAGGAACATTATCAGTTATGTGTTACTTATCTGGCATTTATTATCTCATTAAATGTATAAGCATTTTTGTTTTGTGAATTTCTCTTGAATTTTTTTTTTTCCCCCTAAATAAATTCAGGTGCTTCCAAGGCAAACTTGTGGCTTATTCACCCACACAATTTTCTATAAAGAGTATCCTGGAGGCCCAAAGGAACTAGACAAAAGTATTCAAGGAGGAGAGTTGTTCTTCACAGTGGTTCTCAATCCAGTAAGTACAGTGTAATTTTGAAATGTTTTTAAAAAATTAGTTAAGGGAGAAGTTACTGAATGCTTCAAGGCCAATCAGCTGCATCTCCCAAATAGTAATGATTAGTCACAGTGAGCTCTTCTGCTCTTTCAGTTAATTAATTTAAGATCTAATATTATGTATGTTCTGTTGTACAAAGATAACATCTACTTTTTTTGAGAGCTGTTTTGTTAGTAATGTAGTAGTATCAACCTTTCTTGTTCATCTTTACTTTTGCGTGAAATAAGAACCCTGAGATTTAATTTTTAAAAGAATTCAAGTGTTAAGAACTGGTATTACTGTGAGACGAGTACCTCAGGTGAAGTCCATTTTCCGGCTCTGCCAAATTCATAATCAGAAATATTGGGAGCACTCACTGGTTTGAGAAAGTTGCAAGCAAGGAGTACTTGCGCTTAAATCTCTTTTGAGAATTTTCAGTTGCTGATTCTTAATAGCTTCAAAGAAAAGATCCAAGTAAATGAAGCACGTAGTTCATATATCTGCTTAACCTTTCATTTATCTTTAATGGAAGAATACACAACAAACAAGGATATGAAACTACAGAATACTGTCAGAAGAGAACAGTATAGTACTTCAAAATGGCATGGGATTAGGTCAGTTGCATCAAATCTGACCTTTTAGACAAGCTTTTAGGTGAGTTTTTCATCTGAAGTCCAAATGGAACATATAAATAAAATTTACCTGTCTTATACAAATGTAATCACTAGCACTCATTTTTCCAGAACACCAAGTGAGCAAAACATATTTCCACTCAAATCCTTTGGAATAATAGCCTAAATATTTTTGAGCCCTTTTTTAATCTTCCATAATTTAGTGGAAGTCCAAAGGAAAAAAGCTTCTGTCAGCTACTTCAGCAATTTATATGCAGGTCTATTTTTCAAACCTCAAATTCTTTCAGGCTATAGTTTTGGTTCTTTGAGAGTGGTTACTGTGTTTTGTTCTCCCTTTTCAAGTTCACATAGCAAAATTAGGAAAAAAAACCTTCACTTCCTCAACACACGTGGTCTCCCTTGTAGAGGGTGGCAGCAGTCCCAGTCCTAACTTTGATATATATCATTTCAGGCACAGCATGTTAACAGAGGTGAGACCTGGAAGATTCTTTGGATGGAGGGTGTTGGTACCATAGCAATGCTTTGGCAATATATGCATTTTAACTAAGAGTTACTAGCTTAACAAATGAGACCTAGAGGAAGACGTATAGTAACAACATTTTGAGTCAGGACAAACGGTATTCCATATTGAAACACAGCCACAACTTAGCCAAAAACTATTTTACCCTCTTACAACAGTAGGGAAACAGCAAAATCTAATATGGTTGCTCAAGGCATAAGCCTTTCAAATTAAAAGAATGAAGAGAATGGAGGGGAAGACAAGATAAGCAGTGAAACAATCTTGATTCTTGGTATTAATCATAGAAGTTTGATCATCCTTGAATGTGAGTACAGTAATGTCTTTTTATATATTGCAACTAGATCTTCAATTTATGCATTGCGATGTAGACTGTATGATCGCCTAGTTCTGAGAAATAGGATATCCCCCATACAGTACAGGCTAAAAGAATAGAAGTTAAATGTACTATTTTCTAAATGCAACTCTAAATGAATGTTAGGCCAAAATTTGCCCAAGACAGATTGTTGCAATCCTTTTAAGGAGTGCCTTTGAAAAGATGATGTGTCTGGTTTTAAATATCTGCTTATAAACAGTTTCTAAAGTTCTAAGCATTAGCCTAGCCCGTAATCAATTTAAAGATTAGGGTTTGCATCTTTGTGGTTTTTAAGCATTACATGTATTTATACCATAATTTGCAAGTCAGAGTTGGGCAAAGATTAGGCATTAAAATGAAAACTAAGTAGCTTTAGGAATTTGTCTAATTATGAAGTGGCATTTTGGATTTCATAAGCTTTCCAGTGTTTTCATTAAAATTGCTGGGATTTCTTAATGTGAAACACCCAGTTTTTCAGAGGATGCAAAAATCCTGTTATGAGGCATTTTTCTGAATGTTATTTTTCCCTGATGTAAAACTACAAAGAAGAAACATTACCTAGGAGTCATTACAGTGTCAGCTAAATAATATTCTCAACAATGAGTACATAAATATATAGTTTCTAAAAATAGAAAATGTAGGTGTAAATTAAATGTAAATCTTAACAAAGGCCTTCATTACGTTTTCTGGTTTAATTTGGATAACTGATCTTAAGTGAATATGGTTTCTGAGGTGTAAGTTATTAGGCTGAGGCTTTAGAAACTGAGTACCCTACACTGAAATAAATGCCCCTAAGAATAAAGCCCAAAATTTCTTTGCGGTTTGGCTGTGTAATGGTTCCTATTAGCAAGACAGACTCTGCTTCCTTATAGTACGCTAGATCAACCACAGTCTGCAGAAAAAAACCACAAAAAGCCACGGGACCACATGTGCATCTGTAAGCTTTTGACATGAGAACCGGCATTATTGCCTTGTTCCCAGGGCATTGTACAGTCAGAAGTCCTGCAGGTAAGAAAAGCATCAGGAAATCCTGCTCTGCACATGATCTCTGCTAGTTATATTTTATATGGGAACTAAGAGTTGGTTTGTTGGAGTAACTAATCTTGTGGTTGGCAAGCTGTGTTTACGTGGTGTGCATTTATATCCCCACGCTGCCGGTTCGATTGCGATCCGATGGTGGCTGTGAAGTGATCTTGACAGCTATGCCCATTGTGTTCATAAGGCATCTAGAATGCTGAAGTGCCACCAAGCTGAAAAAGAACCTAAGTAGTAATTTAACACGCTATCTGCTTTTCCAGTAATATTTTGTATGTCTGTCTTCTGTTAAAGATCTTGCTGACTTCAGTGGCCCTTAGGCGAGATTGTACTATACCAGGATCTTGCACAAAATGTTTGGGGGGGGGGGGGGGAAGAAGCCTTCAGCAACCCTGTATTATTAGTATACTGGCATTATTTTCCCCACATTATCGGTTGAATAATTGACTTAGAAGGAGGTCGTGTGACTTGCGCTAATGGAGCCAGGGAACTCTGTAACAATGCCATGAGGAAAACATGCATTGTAGAAGTCTTTAGTGATGCGTATGTTATCCAGTCAGACAGCTCTCTGTTTTGTTATTTTGCATTGTTACTATTTTTCCTAGCACTGTACTGACTTTAAAACATTTTAGCAAGTATTTTTCCTGATAAACTTGTTAGGATCTTCAGTGACTTCAGATTCATCTATTTCTGTCTGCAACATTCAGTGACATTCTTAGATTAAACAAAACAGATGCTTGTTAAATGTCTCTTACAATGAAATTGTAGCAGTGTCCTAAATATGTCTGTTAATGATGAGAAGTGAGCAATTAGATTTTGAGCTATATGTAATGATGAGGGTAGGTATAGACACTGCCATCAACTGTATAATTTCTTCGCAGGTTTGCTAGTAAATTCCTATCAATACTGACAAGACTCTATCAATACTTCTGAACTGCTCTGAAAAATATTAGACCTAAGAACCTCGCCAAACTAAACATACCTGAACTGAACATGCCTTTATAAAAACTATTTGAATATTTATTTCTGTCTCCCCCTGTATATTTTTCCTCATCTGCAACTAGGAACATACATACATGTTGCTTCTCTACAAAAATGTCTGTACTAGCTACTTGTCTGTGGCAGAGCCATTTTTTCTGTAGGTAGTTGATGTGGAATATATACAATAAAATAAGCCAAGTAAGAAGTGAGACCGGAACCATTCAAAAAGCACCGATGTAATAAAGTTTTCAGAGACCTAAGTTACGAATGAGCCTCTTTTGCCTCGCACATCTGTTGCAATGGATTTAAGTACTAAATCTTGATTAACTGAGTAACTAAGGCTATCTATTGCAAAATGATTTGTTTGATACATAACAGTACCGTTCAATCATTAAGAGGAACATAACAAATCTGACTGTCTTGGTGAATAGCTATACGTGTTATGATAAACATAAAGGCTATACACCCTTCATCTTTCCAGGAAGAGTAAAAATTGTGACTGGAACAGGATTCTGCTAAGGACAGCACTGCATATTGCAGCATTTTCTGTAATGATGTGCATGCTCTCCCATGAGAGCAGCTATTAGAGATGAGCTATTAGAGCAGCTAATGTCAGATGAACACGTGAAATTCACTACGTGTCCCACCAGGCTGAGGGAGGCTATGGAGTAAGAGGCAAACATGTTGAACAGCTCTTGCTCTCCTTGAGGCTGCATGGCCAGCAACCAAAGTTGACGCAAATGGTGTGTTATCTTACTCTGTGCTACGCAGACAATAGGAAAATTAGTTCAGTGTTCAATAACTTCATTATAGTTAAGCCAATTTAAAAAGGCATTATTGCGAACATCATGTTACATCCCAGTAACAGAAGAGAAAGGTTCCTGTCTGTGCGTTTGTATATTTGCATTCCGTGGAATGTACACGAATCAATAATCTTAACATGGATCTGCACACTTTGCACAGTGAAGTCAGTGGGATTTTTCCCATTTTCTTCCCACTGTCGTTCCTATTAGTGGGATAATATGTAGATATATCCATGCTCCTTGTTCTTCAAGGCATTGACACACTATGGAAGGAATCAAGTTGAAAATAATGCAGAGTGTTGTATAATGAAGTTGTGGAAATCCATGGTACAAGTTCATCCAGAATACTCTGCAGACTCAATCTTATGTGCAAAACTGGAAGCAGTTGACCGAAGAGGACTGTAAAGGACTGAGACTCCAATTTGAGGAGAAATCAAAATGATCAAGATTGATTAAATTTGAAAAGAGATGAAAACGAGAAACAACTATGAAATTGCATTAACAACCTAGACAACTCCTGTTATCTGTCTTGAAACAGAAAACCAGAGGATAGCGAGTTAAATGGGGATGAGAATTGTATCAGGATCTTCCTCCAAGGTAGTAGTGGTTTTGACATCAAGAACTTACCAAGATTTGAAATACAGAATTAAAATTGATTG